ATTTCGGTGTTCTTCTCACATAGCCGAGAAACTTGAACTGAACAATGATTGTGCCCTCACGGGTTGCAATGGTGAAGCCAACTTTTGGCGGGTCAGCCAAATTATTGCCGCGGGTCACTTAGTGACCCGCGGGTCATAGGTTGCCGACCACTGTTCTAGAAACTCATGACGTGTTACCTGTGTCACGTGAATTCCGCTGTCGTAACAGTACCATAAGCAGCTGCGCTATAACAATATAAGCATATATTTTTTACATCACAAAAATAGGGGTTTGGTCGAATTCCCTCAACCCCTCCTCTTGCGTACGTGCGTGTAAGCCCTCAAGCTCACCCCTGAACCACTGAGGGGCAAAGTCCTAATGGGTAACTGAAGTGTTGAGCTCATATATATATATATATAAGGTAAATAGACTTAGGCATATACAAAGTTGTACAATCTTCTTTGGCACAACACAAGAAATATACACATTTGAAAAGGTATGATCTTACCTTTTCAAATTGCTACCTCAGATATTTTGTTGGATCGATTCAATAAACGATCTGAGGTAGCAATTCATTAGCATAACGGCTACTCCCAGCCTTCATAGAGGTATGAAAGTACTAGCAATTTCACATCATAATAAGTACTTCAACAGTTCATGGTAGTTACGCGCGTTTGTGGTAATCTTTTGATTTTTTTTTTTACTATTTATGTACATATATTTTTTTTACAGATATACAGTCAACAAAAGCATATGATAAATTGGTGAGTGAGATACCTCCTACATCTTTCCGTTCACCTAACGGGGTTGCTTCATTACACTTTGTGAATTAGCAAGTGAGTCATATCACGTGATAAAAGCCTCTATTCTCTAAAGTTTAAGCCTACTTTCAAAATGGCAGAGCCACAGCGAAGAAGCATGACTCTCTCAGAAGAGCAGCGCGAAGAACTTTCTGATCAGTTTAAAACGGTGAGTCGCACATTTTTGATAGTTTAAATAATATGGGCAAAATATGTTACTGATTTATTTTAGCCATTTCTTAAAAGTTATTTTTAACAAATTTAGCTTTTGTAGCATTTTGTGTATCACTTCGAATTTAGAAAATTAGGCTTGTGATTGGTTCACGTTGACCGGTATCAGCGGTACGCCGTAGTTTTACAACACTTTTGTCTAGTAGTAGTAGTAGTACTGTTTGTTAAACTAAGCTATAACTTCTAACAGTTAGTTAATGCTACACATACTGTTGTCTTTAAACTGTGTTTACTTCGAAAAACATCCTGTTAATATGAAATATTAAAATTTATCGTTGCTATTTATGTGCACATTTAGTCGAAAGCAAATATCAAACCAAGATTGATTATACATTGTTAAATTTGCTCTAGGCCTTAGAATTAATAATATATTTCCAAGGTCTTTTGTTAGAAGCTGAGAGCGAATCTTCTTTAGATAATAGAAATTTTAACACTGGAACGAAAGTCAGTATGTGGTTTGTGTGTCACTGTCAGCCATAATTTTTTTATTTATCAAAATTCACTGATGTTTGTAATTTTAATAGTTTTGTCACTTATGTTCGTTTAATGTTTTCACAGGCACTTATATAATTTTATAAGTACTTTGCAGAAATGTAAGTAATAATTACACACATAATGTTTGTATAATTGTATTGCAGCTTTGTCCCAAATATTTAAATTGTGAAGAAATAAAAAGGATTTAGGTGTGATAGGGGGATGACTACTTTTATTCGAAAGTGTGGGCAATGAGAAAAAAAGGTTTCAGAGGTTTATTTTGTACCATAGTTAAAAATTTCTGACAAGCAAAAGAATACTTTTTGCTGTGAAATTACAAAGAATAAGAAGTCTTAAAAAGTTGAATATAAACAGCAACTCAACATACTTGTCGTGTCAGAACTATTGATATTACCTTACATTTGTAAATATCTGATCATGGGCATGATTATTTTGACAATCTAACATTTGTTAATAGTGTATTTACACCAAGTGAAAAAGATGCATAGAGAAGAATATACACAGTTTTATCTCTTTAGTAATCAATATTTGTGTAGTATATGATAAAAACCTTGAATGGATGTTTAGCCATGATTAAAAGAATGAAATGAGCTTTAGCTATTTTCTTTAGAATACTTGTGGTGAAAGAAAGTGTATGTATAAAAGTCTGCTAAGTCTCAAGATAAGGAACATACCAATGTAACTCCCAAACAAAAACCAGCCTTAAAAAATACTGAGATGTTGTTTTACTGCCATGGAAAAAACGAATACGTCTCCTGTCGCTTTAAAGTAGTACAATAATTAATGAGCGCATTCTTGTAGCTTTCTGCAGTTCTGCTCAAGATCTTCGCAGTTCACACAGAAGAGCTGCAAAGATAAGTACTCTAACCATCAGACGTTTCTATTGGTGTACTCGTCAGTGATCAAATTTTGTGTAAAAAAATTAGAGAAATAGTTGTAATGCCATTATTTGTGTTTATAATGATTACATCTGGTGATTTAATTTGCTAAATTAATCCTGTGCCAGGTTTCACCATTTGAAATAGTAAAATAATTTATAATTAGTTAAATTACTTTCTATCACAAAATGTTACTGCTGCACATTGTAAAAAAATTTTAAATTACTCCTGCTGACAGAATTCTGGGAGTGAGTATACAGATGATCAAGAAATATTCTTGGTTTAAAAAGTTTGAGCTGTTGTGTTTATTTGTTCATAAGCATAACTAGAATTAAATTGAGTCTTATGTACGCAGTTAATAAGAGCTTAAAAAGTAAAGCACTTGTATGTTTGAGTGGGGAATGATGTGTTTAGAAGAAAAGACTTAAATATTAGGGGCATTAAATACAAGCTTTTGAAAGTTCAAATGTACATGTAACACTTTTTCTGAGAATGGCTCGTTGATGATGTGCTGTTTTTTAGATTTGTACAATCATTTGTGGGATTATATGAATATGCAAGGTTACCTTTAACTTTAGTTGTTTGTACAGTGAAGAACTTAATAAATAGTTACATTCAATTTGTTTTTGAACCTCAGATAAGTTTTATTTGACCAAGTGGTGATCTTAATGAGCCTGATGGTTAATAGTCACCTTCTTAATTCTTATACCAGTGACATCTAGTATGCTGACAATAATGAAACATTCCACTTAAGAATAATGTGGACAGTCTTATGTCTGGGCCAAAGTATGGAAAAGGAGTACGAGAAGAACAATGGAGTTGTTGAAAATACTTAGGTGTGATCATGTATACACACTTAAAACTTTAGACTTGCATATCAGCTGTGGTGATAAAAACCTAGCACAATGTTGGGATTTATTGAAATAAATTTGAATTTGGAAAAATAAATGTTTTTGTTATCTTGTGAAGCCTGTTGTAGTATAATGAGAGAAGATTTAGTACATTTACTGAAAAAAAATTTAAACATTGTTGAAAGAGTGCAGAGATAGAGATAGTAGGCTTAAAAATTTAAAAAACTAAAGGTGACTTGAATTGTTTGTAAAATTGTTAGGAACTTTGATGAAATTGTGTAATGAAAAAGTTGGAAATGAGAACTTGAATTTTATGAGCAATAAGTAAAAAACTTGGTCTAGATTTAGGCTTTCCTATGAGCAGAGATACATTTCTGTCAGAGTTTTAAATTCATAGAAAGTTTGCCTGATAATGAGATGAGTGAACATGAGAAATGTAAAAGTTACAGAAGATTGCTAAGATCTCATCATTAAAAAAAATAAATACATTTAATTTGAGCTGACTAGTGGCTATGTTGTCTTCAGTCACTGTAGTCATTTTGATGTTGGTCATTCATTTTGATGTAATTTAAATACAGTATCTTACAATGACATCTGTGATTAACTAGTAACACATCATTATAAAGAATAATAAAAATATTTATATTACAAACTTATATGACATATTTTGATAAATTTATCACCTGAAACATCTTTAAATTAACAGTATATAACTGTAAAAATAATTACCTTGTTTTGTATTTTTTTTAAAGAAAAACTTGTTTTAATTTGGTGAATGCTGTTAATATGATTTTTTTATGAATATTGAAAGTTGTGACAGAGTTATGAAAGTGCAGTTTCAGTAAAAAGTGCAATGACTTGATAAGATAAGCAGTAACCTATTTCCTGTTTCTTTACTTGAGTAGGTATATGCAAATTTCATTTGTACTGACTAGTTTCTGTGGTTTGTTTAAATTTCATTGGGAAACTCCATATCATGAAGTTAGAACTTGAGATAATTTATACTCTTAGATAACAGATGTAAATGTTAATTTATAACAATGTTTAGGGACAACAAGGGACCTATTGGTCCATCTTGGCTGTCCCATCCTCTACACTAAAATTATCAAGTTTATAAAATAAAAATCTTAAAGCCAGCCCTTATCATTCATGTACTTATTACACTTTCCCTTAAACTAACTTAAATTTACTGCCTCCACAACATCCTAAGGCAACCCATTCCAGAGGCCAACCACCCTGTTAGAAAAATAAAACTGTTTTAGCTGAAGGTGACTCCTACCCTGCCAAAATTTATACTTGTCCCCTAGTATGAAAAAAGATGATGCATCAATGCTATCAATTCCCTTTACAATCTTAAACACCTTAATCAGATACCCTCTAACTCTTTTTTTTTTCGTGAGGAAACAATATTGGAGATCTTAATCATTCCTCATAAAATAATCCCTCCATCCTCGGCACCAGTCTAGTAACACTCTATTGAACTCCTTCTAACAATTCAATGTCCTTTCTTAGGTAAGGAGCCCAAGACTGAACACAACACTCCAAATGTGGCCTAACCAGTCACTTATACAGTGAAATTATAACTTCTTTAGACTTGTATTCAATATTTCTGTTGATACAACTTAAAATCCTATTTGCCCTAGCAATAGCACACTGCTTGAATGACTTTAGAAACTGATCAGCTATTACACAAAGATCCTTTACTTTCATGACACTGTTAAGGTCGTTCCCATCCAAATTATACTTATAATTTAAATATGATAACCCATATGCATTATCTTGCATTTATTACAATTAAAACCCATTGGTCATTTATTCATCCAACTCACTAAATGATCTAAATCCTTTTGTAAAGCAGCAGCATCCTTCTCATAGTTAGAAACACCCAAGAATTTGATATCATCAGCAAATTTAAGTATTTATTATTTATTGACCAAACCTTAGTTTGTCATTGATGTAAATAGAAAAAGAGCAAAGCTCCTAAGACTGAGCCCTGAGGTACCCCACTTGTGACATTAATCAGGTTTGACTGAACTCCATTTATAACAATCCTCTTTTTTTTTTCCATCCAGCCACTCTTCTATCCAATGAGCTAACTTATCCAATACACCTAAAGAGATATTTTTTTTTTTACAAGCTTTATATGTGGCACCTTGTCAAAGGCTTTCTGAAAATACAGATACACAAAACATACACCCTCATCTACATAAGCAGTAACCTTTTCAAAGAATGTCAAAAAATTTGTAATGCAAGATTTTCACTTGGTGAAACCACATAGACTAATCCAATAGAATTCTAAATTTTGTTAAATGACTTTGCAAAGCATATTTTATCAGACTTTCCAAAACTTTTCCATCAACTGATCTAAGACTACTAGGCCTATAATTACTGGGATAAAAATGTTTTATGTACATTTTAAAATTGAAGTACAAAGACTGTAACTTCTACATTCATGGTTAAACAGTTTGCAGTCTGTTTCTCTGAAGATAAAATTCTTATTTTTGCACTGTGCATTTTAAATCAGAAACAATTAATATGTCTAAATAATGTAGATCATTATGAAGTTTTTGTTTATAATTAACCTGATTTTTGGTTGTGAGTATGTATCAGTAAGTTGTTTTTGGTTTATATTTAACCTGATTTTTGGTCGTGAGTATGTATCAGTAAGTTGTTTTTGGTTTATATTTAACCTGATTTTTGGTCGTGAGTATGTA